CCTAAATCTGCTCATTTAAATCTCTTGACAACACTTTAGCCAGACAATTGCTCAAGTCACATTCAGTAGCCTTCGTGATGGTTGGCATCTCCCTGTCTCTGTGTTGTAAGGCTCTGCAGAGTTCTGGATAACACCCAGCGTGACATGGAGCTAAGTGCTCTGAGCAGGGGAATCAGGAGACCTGTATACTGCTAACAACTTGCTAGGTGACATGGCAAAGAAATTCCTAGTCACAGGATTTCTTTTGGTAAGTGTCTTGCCTGAGGGTTTCAGCCCCGGGCAAGTTCACTATGGATTTGGTGAGACTGAGAAATGACAATGGAACATTATTGGGGTAAAAGGGCTTATACCCAGCTTTATTCTCCCAGTGGTAGGTCAGGCACTAGAATCATGTCTGCATCCAGCAGTCTGCAGGTCCGTAATCCACCTCCATCTCTGCCTCCGTCTAGAGCATTGGGTGGAGCTCTTTATGTAGTGACTCAGTCAATAATAGCTCACTACTACTGGGTGTGTAAGCAGTAGCTTAGCAATAGGTCAATAATATCATCAAGTAGTTCAGGGTCAGGTGAGAATCCTGGCCATAGAAACTTCCATTGTCCCACAATATGGTAAGGGATGATTGCTACTGTTCTTTCCAAGTTTCCAGGTCATTCTTAGGAAGATTTATGCACTTACTTATTTTCTCCCAGGTACTTGAGAAGGAAACTTTTCATATTTCAATTCTTGAAATGGCCTGAATGCCAACTAGTTCTTTCTGTCCCATATTCTCCTATGTCTTCAGTGATTTGTTTTTGTAGGGGACTTTCTTTTTGCTGTAGGCATTTGGGATATTTTCTAAGGGCAAGAAAGAAGTTTTGGAATAGAATGTGCAGGTGGAGTTGATCACATAGACTTCTTGCTTGATGAACATTCAGCTTTCAGTCAAATAAAAAATAAAGGAAAAATAGAGTTGATATAGGGGACATCTTGAAGTAAAAAGACATTTCCTTGATAGCTCAAATAAAACCCTGCAATTAAATCTTTTCTCTCTGTAGCTTTGAGAATTATTTCATTCACCATAAAATTCACTTTTGAAAGTGTACTATTCAATGATTTTTCATATATTTACAGAGTTGCATAACCTGTAAACTATCTAATTTCAGAATGTTTTCATATCTCCAAAAAAGAAACCTTATACCTCTTACCACTCTGCATTTTCTTCTCAGTCAACCTCTAATCTAATTTTTGACTCTAGGTTTTCTGATTTTAGACCCTTCATATAAATGGAATCATACTATAGGTGATCTTCTGTGACTGGCTTCTTTCATTTAATATAATGTTTTCAAGGTTTATCCATGTTGCCATGTATATTAGTACTTCATCCTTTTTTACTGTCAAATTTCACTGTATAAATATTCCACATTTTGTTTATCCATTTATCAGTTGATTAACAGTTGGTTTATTTGCACTTTTTGACTTTTATGAATAATGCTGCTATGTACTTGCATTTTCTCCTTCTTTTGACAGTTTTTTGTATGGACATATGTTTTAATTTATCTTGGTATATACTTTAGAGGTGGAATTTCTGGCTTTTGTGGTAACTCTATGTTTAACTGTTAGAGGAAGTGCCAGACTGTTTTCCAAAGCAGTGGCACAATTTCACATTCCTACCTGCTATAATCTGTCTTTTTGATTATAATCATCTAATGGGTGTGAAGTGATAGCTCATTGTAGTTTTGAATCTACAGTTGAATATGTTCCTGATTGGCCTTAGGTCATATGCATATCATTCCCCTAATTACTGTGGCCATTGGAGGTTGATTATCTTAAATGAATTAGGGTGACATCTGGAGCTGATGGTCAGTGTCAGTTAACCCAAACTCCTGAGGGGATATTTGAAGATACTATTTGAAGGAAGGAGAAATGGACACCTAGGAGGCAACCAATACATGTTTTCTACAGGATGAGTTTGATTGCTTGGTTTCAGTGTTAGAATTGTCTTGTACGCAGGGGTTGTAATGGTGCAGAGTAGGAAGGAAAGTTTATATTCATTAGGGCTTAGGAAGAGAAGCAGCTCAGGAAATAGGTTACTAAAATATGTTCTACTGAAAATAGTTTCCTCCCTGAAGACTGTAGTCACTGGACAGGTATGTGCTCATCCAGAATGTATATATTACTGCCTCCTCTTTTTCTTTCACTGGTCAAACTATCATCAGGCTCAAAATCCCTTGAGTGCTCCTTTGCCAAATGCAGAGTTACAAAATATTAATGGATTCACAATTGCTTTAGGACCAATGCCTGATTTCCAGTTTAAATAGTGTGGCTAGTTTACTCAGGGAATAACTTTCTTCCTCTTGGATATTTTTTGAGATTTGATAAGCTTTTTGATTGCCATATTTTCTTGAAAGGTTTTGGATTGTACTTTAGAAGAAAAAGACCCTAAGGAGGACTCTTTGGTCATTTTCTTAGTCCTGAAGGATTATGGGAAACTGCAGGCCTAGACAGATGCTGAGATGCATTTGTGGGAAGCATAATCAGCCCTTGCTCAGCACTTCGTTGACATGGATTGCTCTTTCTTTACTCTCTCCTTTCTCTCCTTTCTTTTGACATAGATAATTGCATCTGTCATTGAGGCCTTTCTGGCTATTAGTGCTGCGTAGCAAATTATCACACTACACCTTCAAAAAAATTGGTGCTTAACACAACCATTGTACCACACCAAAAAAACCTAAAGAGAATTGACAATTAAATGCCACACTTGATCCTAGACTGGATCCTGTACCAGAGGTGAAAAATGCTTTAAAGCACATAATTGAGTCAACTGGCAAAATTGGTATATGAATAGTATATTAGACAAAAGGTAATCATATCAATGTTAAATGTACCGAAGTTGATATCACTACCATGGTTATGTGAGATAATAGCCCTATTCTTAAGAAATGCACATGCAAATACTTGGGGTAAAGTGCCAAAATGTCTGTAACTTACTCTTAAGTGGTTAAAAAAATTTATCTTTATGTATGAATTATATATATGTAAATTTATCATAAATTTATACATATGAATATATATCATATATATGAAAGAGAAAAAAGAGGAAGAAAAGGGAGAAAGATAAAGAAAATGGGGTAAAATGCTCACAATAGTTAAATTTGGGTGAAGGTGTTTGGATGTTCTTTATAGATTGAAATTAATCCCAAATAAAAAGTTCAAAAAAGCACAGATAGGTTACTATTTTATTTTGCTCATAATTGGGTCAGGAAGGGCTGGCCAGAGTAGCTCTTACTTGGGGTCTCTCATGCATTTGCAGTTCGATGCCAGCAGGGGCTGCAGTCATCTAAAGATGCAACAGAGCTGGTTATCCAAGCAGTCTCACGTGGCTGGCCATTGATGCTGGTGGTCAGCTAGGAGCCCAGTTGGACCTTTGACTGGCCTGCTTACATATGGCCTCTGTAGCATCACAGTCCCAGGAAAGCCAAACTTCTAGTTTTGTTTCTCCCAGTGCAAGAATCCCAAGAGAACAGGTGGAAGCTGCATGGCTTTTTCTGACCTAGCTTTGGAAATTATACAGCATCTCTTTTGCTGCATTGTACTGACTCCAAGCTAGTCACTAAGCTGTGTCCAAGAACTTTCAGTCATGTTCCCAAACTGCCGTAATGCTTACTACATGCCAGGCACTGTTTTATGTGCTTCAAAATGTATTAATTCATTTGATTTGTACTAAAAAACCCCTTCATGTAGGTAGTCTTACTGTACTTATTTTAGAGAAGAGAAAATGAGGCACAGAGGTTAAGTTGCCAACATCACATTTTTAATGGGAGAGCTAGGATTTGAATCCAGACACAATGGCCGCAGAGCCCATGACCTCATCTACTGTACTGCCTGTATACACAGAGCTGTGATTCCTGTTACATTTGGTTAAACCGCCCATATACACTGACAATCACTGACATGCAGACTCTTCTGATGCATTAAAAAATTATGTGACTCAATTCTTACCTTCTCAGCTCTGACTTTTGCATATGTGGTTTACTTTCCCTGGAAAAATTTTCTTCCAGTTATTCATATGTTATTGATTCTTCAGGTTTTTTAGGAAGCCTTTCTTGACCATCCACCTCTGGGGTGAGTACTTCTGTGGGCACACATGCCACATACTGCTTAGTAGTTACAGCCTTTATCATGTTGCCTTAGAATTTGCCTGTTGTCTGGGCTGTTTCCCCCACTGGAATGTAAGTTCCCTGGGGGCAGGGACGTTATTTTGTTCACAAAAGGATTTCTAGCATGGAGCACAGTGCCTGGTATATAGTGTGTAAATAAGTACAAACTTATCTCTCACACCTCATATGTAATTATCACATATTCTCACATAAAAACACAGCCACTAAGACAGTCTCCCGACACATACAAAATCTGTCACATTCACTCTTGTCCACTCACGCTCAATCACTGTGACTTATTCCCCACTCTTAGTTTCTGTCCCATTTCTCACACACCCTCACTACTGCAAGCCCATCACACACACACGATTACTGTGACACAGCTCTAATCCTCAATCACTGTCACATACTGGTTTTCACACAATTATAGTCACCATCTGTACTCTTAAAACAGGATATTTACTCTCCTACAAATTGAGTTAAAATGACAACAGCTTTTTCACACACGCCTTCACATACTGTATTTTTCATACACGTAATCCCCGACAATCCCTGAGATACACAATTATGGTCACACACTGTTTACTGTCTTGTTCCAATTCCTACTGGACACCCCCCCCACACACACACACTCTGACACATACACGCACACTCACAGGCGAGGGGTTGGAGGGCACTGCGGTGGGACTCTGAGCGGAGCCTCGGTCAGCCCGAGAATCGCAGCCCTGCCCTCGCGGCCAGGCCCCTCCCCTCCCCGCCCCCTCATGCATATGCAGCACCGCAACCTAGCAGCCCGGCCCCCGGACGGCCATTTGTAGCGGCGCTAGAGGCTGCGTTCGGCAGGCGCTGCGGAGACGTGCGGAGGAGCGCGACCTCGGCCACTGAGACCCCCGGCCCCTGCGGTCATCCTGCTCATCCGCGCCTCGGGCGGGACCCGGCCAGCCCGGGCGCCTCGCTGCCGCACCGGAGCGGCCCTCCTGGCAGCTCCCGGCGCGCGGGACCCCCGCCCGGCCCCTCGCCCGCAGCCCGCCGGCCGCACACGTCCCCGGAGCCGGGCCTAGGGCGGCGGCGGCTCGGCGTGGCCGGGCGGGCTCGGCGGCGTCCCCATGGCCGCGGCCGGCTGGCGGGACGGCTCCGGCCAGGAGAAGTACCGGCTGGTGGTGGTCGGCGGAGGCGGCGTGGGCAAGTCGGCGCTTACCATCCAGTTCATCCAGGTGCCTGGAGAGGGGCCTGCCGGGGCGGCGGCGGCGGGCGGGGACTCGCGCTACCTGTGGCCGGCGGCCGCCGCGACCCCGCCCCGGAGCGCTGTACGGGCCGGGGGCCGGCTCTGTCCTCCTGCCCTGCGGCCGCGGCGCCGCGCTCCTGCTGCTCGGCGTCGCGGGAGTCGGGCTTCTCAGGAATGTGTCGGGAGGGCGGAGCTGGCAGGGTGGGAAGCCCCGAACCACCTTATCGCCCCGGCCGGGGCCCGAGCCCTCTGGGACAGGCAGCTTCTTCGCGCCGAGCTTCCTGTCCCGAGGGCCCGGGCGTGGGCTGCAGCCGCGCGCGCTGGGTTTGCAGCCGTCCGGCCGCCTCCCGCACCGTCCGAGCGATCGCCGTGGCAACTTGGCGGCGGCTGCGCGTGGTCTCCGGGCTTCTCCGCGCACGCTGAGCCGGAGCTGCCGCGTCCAGCAGTGTGTTTCTCTTTGTGTGTGTTTGCGCTTTTAAGTAGTCTCTTAGGTAATATGTCCGGGTAAGAGTGTGTGATAATGCCCGAGGGAAATGGTGGCTTCGAGGAAGTTAAGAATGTTCACCGATAGGGGTGAGACCATTTCCTAGGAATTCTTGGTGCCTTCCTGCTTCTCGTCTTGCCAAGGTGAAGTTTGGGATGGGCCAGGCTAGCAGATGACCGACCGAGTCGTGTGTCGTGTGTGCTCCAACCACCCTCCCCTCGACCCCCAATCCTTTTTGGTAGTTACAGGCGAAAGTCAGAGGTTGTCGTAACGAAAAGGGAGGTGGAATTCTTAGGATTTGCTTTTGGTAAAAGGTTTGAGTGATATTTTTCGGGATTTAAGAAAAGAGAAAGCCTGATGTATCTGCTTTTTATCAACCTAAAAGGTGTGGCATAAGCTGGGAAAAAACGAAGGTAACCCCCGTTATTAACAGGTAACAAAGATACTCAGTTTATCACGAGTACTGTTAAGAGGCTTTGGAGAAGTATTCTGGTTTGCTTTTAACCCATTTGTTATTGATTGGGGTACTTGAATAGCTTATTTCACTTAGTGTTTATGGTGACATTAAAATAAAAGGTACTGTAACATAAATGTGGTTGTTACCTTTCATATTGACTAAATGAGCAACAATTGCTGCTAAAATATTCGAGGAATTAAAAGCTGCTGCTTAAACCTTTATATCCAGAAAGAGAATATGTGTATGTAATGAGCATTTACAGTATGCTCATTAGTGGGTAAAAAAAAAAATCACACCAAGAGGCGAGATTGGTTTAAGTTTAGCAGGCTGCAGAATCAGGGATGCTGTCATGTTGCTATTTCCCTAGGGCGGAGAGAGACTAACTGATGGCAAAGCGAAACAATTTATAGCAGCTAACCCTTTCTTTGGGGACTGTAGGGTGGGGGTGGGGTGATGGCGGTGAGGAGAGAAAAATAATGGTTCTAGTTTTAATCAAGAATGACCTGAAAGGTTTAAATTACAAGTATTTCTTCAGTTTCTTGGGGGGAGTACCATCCGAATGTATTTGAATCTTTAGGTTATTTAATTAAGGTATCAAAACCTTTTGTTTTTGGAAAATAGTATTAGAAACCATTGAGATAACTAATCGCTGTCTTCCTAATGATTTTCTAGAATTCATTTGTTAAAGAAATAGCCTTTATGAATAGTACTGTACTTAGGTGCTCTAGGTGATACAAAAGAAGTAGAGGAGGTGTGTATGCATGAGAAAGACCCATTTATTCAAAAAGAGTGTGAGCTTTGAGTCACGCAGACTTAAGCACCAGCACCTGTCTTGCTCTGTTACCTGTTGGTTGTGAGAACATTCAGCGTCTCTGAGCCTCAGTTTTCTCATCAGTAAAATATGTCTGATCACACATTCATTATGATCCTTTAAAGTATGAGAATGTTCTTAGTTTGTATCTAGCATGTCGTCTATGCTCAGTTAATGATGGCTGCTCTGTGTGTTGAATGTACAGTTAGGTAACACATTTACATGCTTTGGGAATTAAGATTTAGGGAAAAGGTAGTTTGGGAAGGAATGGTAGAAGTACTGTGTGGGCTTGGTGGCAGAAGAGAGGACCTATCTTACGTGTGTTTGGGGGAGTCATACCGTAACTTGGGGAGAGGAGGTAGGCTCGGAGAGGGATAGGCAGGTGAGAGGCGGCCAGTGAAAGAGAGGAACATAGGTTCTAACTCCCAAGACTTTGGAGAGATAGGAGCCAGATCACCTGGATGGAGTCTCAGCTCTGCCACTTACTGCATGTATAATCTTAGGCAAATTACTTAACCTCTCTGTACCTCAATTTTCCCTCTCTGTAAACTGGTGAAATAAAAAACACCACATACTTTTGTGAAAATTAAATGAGTTAACATATGCCAAGGGCTTAGAACAATGCCTAGTGTGTAGTAAGTCTACAGACGTTATTATTATTATTATTATTATTATATTAATCTTAGATTAAGGAGCTAAAGTGACTATCATCTACACTTAATAGAGCTGCTGTTTATTTCTGACTCCTGGGAAATTAAAATTCATTCTGCTGTGATTGTCTAGTAATTGTAATTGGAGGGAGAGGAGAGGTAGAAGGATAATAATCATAACAAGCAGAAATAAGTTCTCTTTATAGGGGAACAGGATGGCGTAAGTTAGTTTTATTTTATTTTTTTAAGACTCCTGGAATGAGATGCTGTTTTTACAGTGATCAGTATATATTTTTCTATTACATAATCTTGAGTGGAAAAAATATAAACAAATTTGGGAGTGGAGAATTTAAAAACAACTTTGTCTTTAGCGCTGACTTTCTTTAACCTTAGATTTACTTGTTGCCTTTTGTGCATGTGAAGAGCTGCAAAATTAGGAAATGAAGGCAATAATTACTTGAGATGTCTTTTCCTCTTTAAAAATGAATATGTGGATCATAAAATGTGATAAAAATGTAAAATGTTATTAATAATGTCTGTGTATACACGACCTCTTCTTGTTTCTGTTCATAGTTATTTGAAAAGTGTTTTAAGTTCTGCTGGTAAATAGAATACCTAAATGATGAGTGAACTGTACATAGCAAATGATCTTAACATTAGAAAAAGTGAGGCAAAGAGGGCATTAGATACTTGGGTTCCAGGTTTCCTTACTCAGGTTGTGCTGGGGAATCTCAATCTCTTTAGGGCTTTAGTTCTTCATAAAATGTTGGGTTTGGATGAAATTCTAGGTTCTTTCTTGTTTTATTTGCTGTTATTACTTCTGTACCTTGTACCTCCAAGACAAAATTTGTAATGTCTTTATTTTTCCTTGACACATAATCTGGTCTGTTATTTTACGTCTTCAATACTCCAACCCCTTTCCCACCTGTTGGTCCTCCCCCCCCCCCCCCCCCCCCC